CAGCTCCTACATTCCACAAGTCATACATCATTTCAAATCTAACAACGTTCGAACCAACCAAAATCTTCTTAATTTTAGTATCACAAATTAAATTTCAAATTTCCAAAATATTTTTCATTAGATCAAAACTGCATCACCTTTTCTCCTTACTGTTAGAGTTCAGTTTTTTAAAGTTCGCTCTTCACAAAGCCAGAGTCGAGCAAATCAATAATTTCTAAAGCTCGAAAATAATTTCAAAACCGATAGGATAGGTTCACTTACGCATTACAAGTTCTTGAACGGATTCTACGCTGGGAAGTGCTTCTTTGAATTTTTCGTCGGTTGCCGACGATTGAGCATTCTGAATTTAATTGTTGAGAGAATGCAAAACTTACGGCTGAAATTGTGCACAACAAAAAGTTCACATTTTCATGAATAATGGCAGTTGAGATCGAACTGAGAGACGGCCATTAAATAACGATAATTAATGAAATATGAACTTTAGAAGTTTGATGATTTCCCTCGTCGCAACATTTCATCACGTCGACTGCTGACGAAAGCAATTTCAGGATCAGAGGTATATGCGAACCGTTCACGATAATGTTCAGACATTGTGAAGGTGGCGATTGTAACAGTTGAATCTGCAAGGTCGCTTTCAATCTCAAACACAACAAACCGTGCAACTGTTTATTCCGTAAACTCTTGCAATTTACTCATAACTCGCCAGTTACTTGCAAATAAACATTTGTTGATAACAATAACAACACTGATAACGAATATATCAAACCTCATCAAGTGCCTCATTGCTGTACGTCTGTTGACAATGTTCAGAATGCTTTTTAAGTTGAGTCAACAATGAAGTCAAATTCGACGTTGAATAAGCCTTATCATTATTATTATTATTAGTATTATTGCTGCTATCAGCACTATTATCAGATGCTATACCCGCAACACATTTCAATAACAAATCACGTAATTTCATCGAATCTACCTGCAACATTCATTCAACTGTTTAAATAAATGCGCAAAACTATCTTCAATATTATTTCTTCGCACTTCGATGGAACTTCGTTGAAAAATAGATTAAAATAAACGAAGATCGCTCGGTTTGGTTTAAGACCAAACCTTCCGACGAATGACTAATTGTGTTTTGTTGCATTTCAACTTCAAAGTGTCACAATGAAAACTAAAAGCCTTCTTCACGAACGAACCTGTTCGAAATAAGAGCGTTGTTTAACCTTTTCAATCAGTTCAGTTGGATTACCACTATCCAATGATGGGATAACATTTAGATCTCGATTATCCTCAATCATCGTAAAATCTGTAACAAATTCAACCAATCAGAATTTCATCAACCAATCTCATTCGAGTCCCAATCCCAATCAATCCTTACCTATTGGCTGTTGATCCCCCCTCAGTGTCTCCACTAGATGATCCAATTTCTCGACCACAAAACACCCGCTCAACGCACGACTCTCGATATCCGCTCCAACCGCAATTATCGACTTCGTCATCTTTGATAATAATTCCACCAGTCGAGGCACTTGTACAAAATTACCGTTCTTATACGCCGTCGTCAAACATTCCGATATCTAAGATATGATCACACAATAACTATAATAACAATAACAATAATAATTTCACGAACAACTCCATACCTCCCTCTCAGTTTGATCAAAGAAAACACTCAGTTCGGTGTAATAAATAATACCCGCATTGAAACGTCCATACTGTTCCAACAAACCGAACAACAAATACCCTGAAAACAAGAACCACATTAAACGCAATCAACGCCAACACTCCAAAAACGAACCCAACGTATCGCGTTGAACATTCTTCACGTCCAAAGACTGCATGATGATCTGTATCTGCGCCGTTGCACCGATCAGAGCGTATGCCTTGCACAGAACCAGACGACACAACGGATCGGATTTGTGCCGTGAGTGCATCCACTCCATCAATAGAATCAACTCGTACATCGCACTCATATCATCTCAATTGTTTACAATCAATCCAATATCATTTATTCTCATAATCATTCTATAACAACACTGCGCTCATATCAGTTATAATTAAAATCAAGAATAATCGAGAAATATCGTTATTTACAATCGCCTCTCAATTATTTATGCTCAATGCAACAAACATCGCACGCAAGCACTCACATCATCGCTATCTCAATTATTAGTTATGACCAAACAACAAAAAATGAAACTAACAACCACAACAAAAAACCAACCCTCTTCCACAAAAATATCCCACAATAAATGCGCACCAATCTGCGCATAAGCAGCTGCCGTCAGATCCGAATGCGCGCAGCATTCTTCAACAACCTTAATCAACTCGGCACACAACTGTCTCTTCTCCCTATTCGACATTGTCGAATGCAAGCCCAGTGCCCTCTTGACACGATTCAATATGATCTCGGCCCATCGCACATTCTCCGCCTTTACCTGTCATTTAATCAACATCCTCGTTATCAAACCACCCATCCAAAATCCTCACAATAAAACCAACTAACATTATGATTATCACCCGTCTCTATCGAGTTCCTTACAGTCTCCACCAAATCGCTTATGCGCTGTACAAAAGGCTCAATTTGATGCTCTCCCAACAACGGCATAAATGACCGAATATCTGTGAAGCAACACGGCTTCGAATAGAACATCGTTATGTACTCCACTAA